TTTATTCTACACATTGCTGACCTTGAAGTCGCACTGAACCCACCAGCTTATGGCACCAAGTTGGAACTTAAGCCTGCAGCCCAGGCTGCAACTCCTGAGTTCCCGTACTGTATACTACAGGAGGAAAAGTTCCAGGTGCCAGATATCCAAACACTTGCTTTTTAATAGGACACACAGCCTATAATAAAAAATGTAAAACCTTCCAACTAAAGCAAAACATTTCAATGCGTGATCGGAATGAATGTTGGTGCATTCATTCATTTGTTCAGTAAATATTTGTTAAGGAGTACTTCCGAAATAGGTGATGTACTTCCGAAGTAGGTGCTAGAGCTGATGCAATGGCAGACTATGGCCCTGCCTTTAAGGAGCTAATAATCCTAGAGGGGTTCAATGGAGGTATTGTCAGTTATAAGTAAGAGAGAGTCCAATTCCAGCTGGCTTAAACAGTCATGGGACTTTACTGGCCCACGCATTTGAAAAGCCCACAGACAGTGCAGACCTTAGGGAAGGCTGGATTCAATGGCTCAAAGTTGTCACCAGGGCCTGGGTTTCCTTCAGTGTCTCTGCTCTTCCTTTCCTGTTGTCAATTTCATCCTAAGGTGGACTTCCCTTGTCCAGCAGCCCCCAGTATTACGTGTGTCCTAATTTCTAGTAGAAGACTTGAAATTCACTTTGTTTAGACTACTTTAGGTCACCTGCCCACCCTTGAATCAATAGTTGTCACCAGAGAAATGGAAAGTCCTGATTGATTGATTTAGCCAGGAGTACTTGCTGAGGGAGTACTCCTGAGGGAGATCAGGGATTGCTGGGAAGGGAGAGAGAGCACCAGAAATGCTGGGTGAATGTGGGGTGGTCAGCCAGCCCTTTTCACACAGGCTCTGCCGGGTGATTTCATCCGGTCCCAAAGCACCATTCCTATTGGTTTCCTTGAAGGTCTTATTGCAGCAGTCTGGGCTTCAGACCTGCTGCTTCCCCCTCTGAAACCTCATTCCATCCACTCTTCACAGTGACCCCTTCTCTCCTTTCAAAGCTCAGTTCAGAGTCAGATTCTCTGAGGCTTCTTCCACCTCCCTGAGCCATCCTTCTTTCATACTCCCTTAGCCCTGGTACTACCTATGCCTCATACCTAGTCAGGTTTCATGTTCCTGCTTCTCCAATTTTAGACTTACATTTTACCTTTAAAGAGTTTGGGGTCTCCTAAATCCCCTCTCTTTAATGCCTAACAAAGGCATTGAGAGCTTTGATGTTGACTTCTTTGTTTTCCCCAATTTCAACAATAAGATGGTTAAAATGTGTGTGTGTGTGTATGTGTGTGTGTGTAAAACAGAGTGAGAAAGAAGTATGGAGCTGTGGAAAGAGCACAGTAAGACAATCTATAGGCAGACAGTCCCGGTTTTAAATCCTGGATTGCCACTCTTTCAGATCTCAGATATTCACCAGTGGATCCCTACTTGACTCTTTTCTTTCCTTAAACGGTATGTGTAGTGTGTTACACATTCACTTTCTATGACTTTTCACGCTTGTAAATATGCACTCATGCCAGTGTTATTTGTTTACATTAGGCACATTTAACAAACAGTACATTAAATAAGTGCTTGTAAGTACTGCCATAGTTGAAGTTCCTAACAGTGGTGGCTTTGGCTAAGAGAGAGCAAAGAGGGACAAAGAGAAATCCTTCAGGACTTGAACACATTTTTCCCCTTTTAGCTGAATGTGGTTCCCAGATTTGAGGTGGAGTGGGAGGAGGAAGTATGGTTTGTTCCTTCCACCTACTCCTCTGCCTGATCACACCTCCCGAAGCCTTGCCCTGATATAACTGCTCAGTGCATGGCCGTGGTGCTTACATCAGCCCTCCATGCATAATGTAAAGATAAGAATGATAACAATATTTTATTTTTTGAGACAGAGTCTCTGTTGCCCAGGCTGGAGTGTGGTGGCACGATCTTGGCTCACATAACCTCTACCTCCTGGGTTCAAGTGATCTTCCCACCTCAACCTCCTAAATAGCTAGGACTACAGGCACACACCACCACACCTGGCTAATTTTTGTATTTTTTTATAGAGATGGGGTTTCACCCTGTTGCCAGACTGATTTCGAACTCCTGGAGTTAAACAATCCACCTGCCTTGGCCTCCCAATGTGTTGGGATTACGGGGGTTAAGCCACCATGCCTAACCGATTTTTTTTAACATAATGCTTTTAAACTTACTTAATGCATTTGGGGTAGGTTTAATGCATAAAAAGTGGGAGATGGTAGAGGCCTGGGAAGATATATAGTTGCGCTTTCCATGATATGAAACATGGCCCTCTGAATGCACTGCTAGCACATCTGTCTTTGTGAGTTTCCCTGCTTTGAGCCTCAGTTCAGTCACTTACCACTTACAAAAGGTTACTTGATAGGAGGGCTATTTCTCCAGTCTACTCATTGACGTCAGCCCTCCAAGTTAGGGTATGATGGGCTGAGGAACCCTGAGGTTTAGACTAGCTAAGTAGTGGGACCAACTGATGACCAACTGTCCTCTGATGAAGCCCACGTCAGTCACCTACAATTTACCACTTGAGCCCAGGAGGTCGAGGCTGCAGTGAGCCATGATTATACCACCACACTCCGACATGGGTGACAGAGTGAGACCCTGTCTCAAAAACGAACAAAAATCTGGGAATCCCAAGTCCGTTCTATTTTTGTAATAGTGGACACATTTTCAGAAGGACATGAGGACCTTTCTGAGTCTAAAACCCTTCTGGACCTCATCTTCCTCTTTTATGAAATGAGATTAATTCTCCACTATGAGGTAATCATGCCCTGTTGTATATTCAGGGCATCTCACTAAATTAGCCTGGTCATCTTTAAATTTTTTAGTACAAGTACACCTGTTGGAAATCCAGACTTTTCCCACTTGACCAGATATATTCCCCAGACGTCAGGACTAATAATCCCCAGATATGGTGATGGCATTGTTTTCTTCCTCTGCCCTGATGCCCGACCCTGGGCTTCAGGGGCAAGCCTTTCCCTAATGATTCTTTCACTGGCAGTTCATTATTTCAGTGCATTGCTGTGGAAAGCTCTATATAAATATTTGTTGCTTAAAAGTTGGGGAATCCCTTGGCCGGGCATGGTGGCTTACGCCTGTAATCCCAGCATTTTGGGAGGCCAAGGCAGGAGGACCACTTGAGCCCAGGAGTTTGAGACCAGCCTAGGCAACATAGTGAGACCCCATTTCTATAAAAAAGTTTTTTTCTTAATTAGTGGGGAGTGGCAGCGCCTGTAGTCCCAGCTACTCAGGAGGCTGAGGTGAGAGGATCACTTGAGCCCAGGAGGTTGGGGCTGCAGTGAACCATGATCACACCACTGCACTCCAGCGTGGGTGACAGAGTGAGACCCTGTCTCAAAAACAAACAAAAATTTGGGAATCCCAAGTCTGTTCTATTTTTGTAATAGTGGACACATTTTCAGAATTGCGTGAGGACTTTTCTGAGTCTGAAAACCTAAAATTCTCTAATTGACAATTTTGAATATCTTTGGGAGGAAATGCACAATCCATGACCAGACCAGAATATACTAAGAAAATAATTTATTTAATTGTAAGTTGGGAAAATTTTTAAAAAGTTTAGTAATAACGATGAACAAGATCATGAATTTGTCCATTGGAGATTTAAACTTTAATGAAAATTTTTTTAAAAATCAAGAAATTCACTTAAAAGTAAACATGAGTTCTTTGCTCTAAACTTTCAGGCTAAATCATTTCTTTGGTTCAGGACTTAAAAACCCTTAAACTCTCCCTACTCCAGACTGAATCCAAGACAACCTGACTAATAGAGAAGCAGGAGTCTTAACTGATGTGTGATCTACTTTTCCTTTTTCAAAGCCCTACTTTTTCCTTTTTAAAGCCCACTAATTCAGAGTTTTTGTTTTGTTTTGTTTTGTTGGATGTCAGACTTTTTGGCAAGAAATGAAGTAGGAGGCACAGTGAAATGGTCAAGAAAAATCTAAGTTTCATTTTATAAAAGAAGCTCATTGCAGTATACAACAGGCTAGTGCAATGGCTTTTCAAATAAATTGCTTGAAAATAGAAACAAATGACCTAGACTGGAACACAAGCAAAATACAAAGATATGTGCATATGTACATGTTGCCTCCTAACTTCCTTTACATTGATTTGGTTAACTTTAAATAATATGTAGGATTTCACAGCTTCTCTTAGAGAAGGGAATTGAATGTTAAACTGTTCAGTCATGATAACTAGATCTCCCATTGTTATGGCTCATGCTTCTGTTACAAAATCAATTAACTGTTTTGCCAAGCATGTCTAATTGTTACACTTCCACAGTGCAGATGGAGCAGGAGGAAACAAGAGGTTACTTGATAGGAGGGCTGTTTCTGCAGTCTACTCCTGGATTTCAGCCCTCCAAGTTGGGGTATGAGGGGCTGAGGAACCCTGAGGTTTAGACTAACTAAGTGGTGAGACCAGCTGATGACTGAGTGTCCTCTGATGAAGCCCACATCCTAGAAACGGAACTGCTTGCAAGCCTCTTCAATCCACTGCAGGCCTTTGCCTTCTCTGACACCATCCACATCTCTTTGCCGAGGATTAGAAGATGCAAGTTGCAGTCTGGTAGACTGAATACCACTTAGGCAACACAAGAAACATATTCCGTTCAAGTCCCCGCTGCTTGTCATTCATAGGGTCAACGAGGCTGGAAATCACTCACACTTCCTCCCATTCAGTGCCTGGATCCGTGATGTATTTAAGCACCAACCCCATACCCTAAGTGCCCCCAGGGTGGCACTGCCCCACAGTGATCGGCTCCTCTCTTCCACTCTCTGTTTGCTATTTCATGCAAACTCATGTCAAGGCTTTGTTTTGACTTCATGCTGGGCACCTTGGCTCATTCAGGTTCCTTGGGACCCTGATCACGCACCACCATGATATTGTTGGAACCGAACTGTCGATTCCCTCCTGGGCAGGGGTCGCCGCGAAGGATCACCGACACAAGATTCACAGCAGAGAGTTATTTATTACTAGCGCGCTAGGGTCCCAAGCTCTAAGTTGGCCCTGGGACCCCGACTGCTTGTTACAGGCTGTTTATATAGGCAAACACAAGTTCAAACACAGCTTAGGGCGCGAAATTCAAACAAAGCTTAAGGCGCAAAATGATTGGGTCTAGCTATGGCCTGAGCAAGGCGTCTTATGCTAATTGGTTAGAGCAGGACCTTATGAGGTTTTTTCCTGGAGTTGTTGATTCCAGGAACTTCGAGGCAGGGTGGGACCCCCGGAATTGGCAGGGTGGGACCCCATGAGGTTGTTTCCCGGAATTGGCAGGGTGGGACCCTATCAGGGTGGGTCCTTATCGAGGCAGGGTGGGACTCTATCCAGAGCCACTTGGTGTTAATTTTTTCTATATGAGGCCTAGTTTCAATATCTACCAGGACACTCCACCAATTTTTCGCACAGAAGCCAAACAACATCCTGATGAGAAAAGGACGGACTACAGATGGCCTGAAGCAATCTGCTATTGAAGCATTTTGAGGATTGCCAAGGCAAATGGTGTCTTTACTGAGAGCTCTGCTGCACAGTAACTTCACGTTGTTTTAGATCCATTGGAAATAGGCAGGCATTGAACTCAAGGGACAACCCCTTACAATCATATCTTGCTGCCAAACGCTTCCCTTAGCACCCTTTTCTCCAGATGTTATGTGGCATGTGTAGAGTGTTTCTGGCTTTATCTTTGCCTATGACAAGTTCTTTTTGGTTCAGTTGATAGTATTTCCCCCAAACCCAAAATAGATAAGAAATCACTGGGAATTTACATCTGATTACCCTAGATTCATTCTCCCACATTACAAAGCCTCAAGTTACAAGAAGGAATGGTATGTGTTTGCCATGTTGGTGTTTCATTAGTATTTTTTTTTAACTTAAAATTAAGTGTTACTTTTCTGAGGAAGTAGCCAGAATACTCCTCTCTCAAATTCAGAAATCTACTGGCACAATTTGAAGTCAGATGATATTTCTAACCAAATTATACTCTTTTGTCTGCCACGACCGCTTGACAGTTTTAATATCTGAAGGCAGGCTGATATGATAATCCCAGCAGTATTCTAGGGATAAGATTTTAGAGGGTTTGTTGAGAAGGAAATACTGGTTTAGGTGGCTTTCATCATGCCACTCAGCTTCTATGTCATTTTTCTTTTCCAGGAGGATTCTCTTAAAGCACTCCTGGGGGATGTCGAGAACCTGAATGGGTGTTCCTCCAAAAATGGCTGTGTGGTAATAAAAATCCTCCTGGCCAAATGGAATGCATGCTGCTGACTCTTTCTGCCTCTCCTAGGTAAAGTCATCAGGATCTGCCTTGTACCACCAGGGCTGTAGCTAAGCCACTGACTGGCCTAGGGTCTTCACCCCAAAATTGTCTTGGAAGACCTGGTCTACATCCATGCAGAAGAGGAAGTCGACCTCGTGTTGGATGTGAGCCAAGATGTGCTCCCTGATGATCTTCACAGGCATCATGCTGATGTGTTGCCACCTCTTCTCTGGCTTGACCTCAAACACTTTTAAGGAATGCAGAGGACCCAGCTCTATAAACAGCACCTTGGAGACATCATCCACTATGATGTAAAATATGACTTTGTGGCCGACCTTGAAGTACCTATTAGCAGGTGTTATGAACTCTTCCAAGTAATGCTCAATATATCTGAAACAAAGAAGAAAAGCAAAACATTTAACCTTTGGGATTCCTGAAAGAAATCACATGTTGTTATAATCATGTCTGTATTTTATAGTTAGTAGAAGAATGATTTCTTCCCACCCCGGGTATGTTTTCATGTTAGTGTAATGCCCCTGGCTACTCTCCACCATTCAGTCACTCAGTCCGTGGGAAGCTGGAATGACTGACCTGACTGCCAATTTTGGAAGAGCAGCTAGAACTAGACATGCACTACCCTATCCTTCCTCTCCTCTGGCTTTTGGAAACCAGCCAGTCCAAGAGAGCATGTGTTCTCAACTGCTCTGGGTTTTGCAGGAAGCTTAGTACAGGATCTATTTTCACATCCAGAGGCCTGTAGGTGCCTGGATGCTCAAGTCTTTCTAATTCTGGGGGTTGAATATTTAGGAGGCACAGGGCCTGCAGATATAAGCCACATTCTCCAATATGAGCTTTAACTATAATGAGGGTGATATTTACCGCTCTCTGCCTTTCTTACCCCTTTGTCCAATTTACCAATTGGTTCAGACTTTGGACAGTCAAAGGGGGTACTTGTTCTTGAGCTCAATTCAAAAACCCTAACATAAACCCCAACGTTGCTACTGCCAGACCAGGTACAAGGGTGATGTGACCCTTGGATCCAATGGGGATGCATTAAGCCCAAACAGCGGAACTCCTTTGTCCTGTGTGATACAGAGAATGAGTTATGAGATCTAGATCTGCTTTCATGTTACATAGTCATCCTATGAGCCTCCCACTAGTCACCTAAAACACCAACCCATTGTCCACACACCATCATCCAAAATACTAGTCCATCCAAATACTAGAATGAGCAACTTCTGATTTAACCTTATTTTAACTACTTTTTCTTTATCTTAAAAAAAGGACTATGTTAGCAGTAAGCCACGTTTGGTGGCTGAGTAAACATAGATGAAAAGAGAAGATAAAAAAATTTAAAAAATAAAAAAAAGAAAAAAGGACTATGTTGTTTAGAGAAGTTTTAGGTTCACAAAAAAATTGGGCCAAAAGTACGGAATTCCCATATACCTCCTGCTCCCACATTTGCACAGCCCCCATCCCCCCACTATCAACATCCTTGCCCCAGAGTGGTGCATTTGTTACGATCAATGAAGCTACACAGACATATCACTATCACCCAACATCCATAGTTTACATTAGGGTTCACTCTTGGTGTGGTACATTCTAAGGGTTTAACAAAAGTATAATGACATGTATCCACCATTGTAGTATCATACAAAATATCATCACTGCCCTAAAAATTATCTGAGCTTTGCTTATTAATCCTTCCCTCCCCGAACAACCCCAAACAATCACTGACCTTTTTACTGTCTCCATAGTTTTACGTTTTCCAGAACGTCATATAAACATACAGCATGTAGCCTTTTCAGCGTGGCTTCTTTTACTTAGTAAGATGCATTTAAGGTTCTTTTATATCTTTCATGACTTGATAGCTCATTTCTTTTTAGCACAGAATAATATTCCATTACCTGGATGTGGCTTAGTTCATTTTTCTATTCACCTACCAAAGGACATCTTGGTTGCTTTCAAGTTTTGGTAATTATGAAATAAAGCTTCTGTAAATATCCATGTGCAGGTTTTTGTGTAGACATAAGTTTTTAACTCACTTGGGTGAATACCAAGGAGCACGATTGCTGGATCGTATGGTAAGAGTATATTTAGTTCTGTAAGAAACTGCCAAATTGTCTTCCAAAGTGGCTGTACCATTTTGCATTCCTACCAGCAATGAGTAAGTGTTCCTGTTGCTCTACATCCTTGTCAGCATTTGGTGTTGTCAGTGTTTTCAATTTTGGCCATTCTAGTAGGTATTTAGTGGTATTTTAACTATCTATTCCTTTGAAAAACATTGCACGCTGTCCCCCATTGCTGGGCAAGGTGGCTCATGCCTGTAATCCCCGCACTTTGGGAGGCCAAGGCAGGTGGATCACAAGGTCAGGAGTTTGAGACCAGCCTGGCCAATATGGTGAAACCTGGTCTCTACTAAAAATACCAAAATTATCTGGGCATGGTGGCACATGCCTGTAGTCCCAGCTGCTTGGGAGGCTAAGGCAGGAGAATTGCTGGAACCAGGGAGGCAGAGGTTGTAGTGAGCTGAGATGGTGCCACTGCACTCCAGCCTGGGCAACAGAGCAAGACTCCATCTCAAAAAAAAAAAAAAAAGGCCAGGCACGGTGGCTCAAGCCTGTAATCCCAGCACTTTGGGAGGCCAGACAGGCGGATCACGAGGTCAGGAAATCGAGACCATCCTGGCTAACACGGTGAAACCCCGTCTATACCAAAAAAAATACAAAAAACTAGCCAGGCGAGGTGGCGGACGCCTGTAGTCCCAGCTACTGAGGAGGCTGAGGCAGGAGAATGGCGTGAACCCGGGAGGCGGAGCTTGCAGTGAGCTGAGATCCGGCCACTGCACTCCAGCCTGGGCGACAGAGCGAGACTCCGTCTCAAAAAAAAGAAAAAATAAAAAAAATAAAAACATTTTATTGGAGTCTTCTGTAAGCCCAAGCTATGGACTATTTGTGAAGCTATGCTATGGAGATTACCAGGAAGAGGAAGAATAAGCCAGATGGTTTCATACAACTTGACCAAACCCTAAACTCATGTGGACTGAATTTAATGTGCTGATCACACTTCTGGCCAATCATGGTGTTTTGTGAGTAATAATGACTGGCACTTCTTTTCGCTTTTTGTTGCTGCTTGGATTCCCTTTCTTTGTTACCAAAATAAAATGCGCTTTTAATGTTGGCATGTGGTAATCCAAGGGTTTATAGTACTGATTCTTTAAATGGAGAAAATACATCTGAGGAATATAAAAAAGGACTTCAGTGTGGCTCTGTGGGTAGTGGCCAGGAAATCCTTCAGTATTCTGGGACTTCAAGAAAAATGTATTGTGCTCTGAAGCTTGGGAAACAATACTGGGGTAGGGTGGGGTAGAGTTAAGTACAGGGGAGAGTCATTGTGAGGTTTTACATTGTTAAGAGATTAAAGCATTGCAGTTGGCTCCATGCATTGTTGCTTGAAAACAAACCAAACATTACACCTCCTAAAAGTCAAAATCCACTTGTAGAGATCTATTGCTGCTGAGTACAAGCAGTCCTCTCTTGTCTCAGAGCTGAGGGCAGAGTGCTTTCACCAGGATGTGTGATTTACAGTTTAGTTCTGCAGAGCTGGAATTGGATGGCTGAAGCCGTTGTGGGGCACTGGGCAATGTTCTGTTCTTTTTGGAAACACGAGGATCAAATCAATCTCCAACGTGGCTGGGTTAGCCCCTTTTGTGCCAAAGGATTCGGTGAGCTGGGTGGCTCACCTAATCTAATTAGGTGGCTCCCAACCTATATGAGTACAGATTCTTTTAGTAAACATGTCAAAACTCCACAGTCACCTTTCTCTGCTAGAGAGACCACATAGGTCCCTAGGATCCGCACATTCAGTGACATTAGAACTTGATTGGTATTGTGAATGACAGAACAGTAACAGCTGCTGGGCTCTGGGTTGGGGAAGGTTATCTCTGGAGAACTATCAGATCTTTACGGAGCTCTCTTTAAGCCCCACCTTGGCAAAGCTCAAATCAACCTAAGCCTTCAAATCTCTTTATACAAGGCAAAGAATCAACTTTCCATGAAGCTTCTTCAGAAGAGATACAGAGGGAAAGGCCCAGAGGGCAGAAAAAAAAATAGGAAAATTGGACTTTCAGTTTTATTTTGGAAAAAAAAAAAGGAAAATTCTCCAAAAAAAGCAAAATGGATTATCTTCAATAACTAATATTAGAGCTAGAACTTTTTTTTTTTCTTTTTTTTTGAGACGGAGTCTCCCCGTGTCACCCAGGCTGGAGTGCAGTGGCCAGATCTCAGCTCACTGCAAGCTCCGCCTCCCGGGTTCATGCCATTCTCCTGCCTCAGCCTCCTGAGTAGCTGGGACTACAGGCGCCCGCCACCTCTCCCAGCTAATTTTTTGTATTTTTAGTAGAGATGGGGTTTCACTGTGTTAGTCAGGATGGTCTCGATCTCCTGACCTTGTGATCCATCCACCTCGGCCTCCCAAAGTGCTGGGATTACAGGCGTGAGCCCGCACCTGGCCTAGAGCTAGAACTTTCAAGAAAGAATGACTGTAGTTTTTCTGCATCATATGTTCTGAACAAGGGAGCTGAAACTGGAACATATCCAACCTTTGGAAGAGCAAGCTCTGACCAGCAAAACTTCTAGGGCCAAATCCTCCATGAGAGAAAAAGTAGAAGTGATCTGAGGAACCCATGGAAGAGTGGTCAGCTGTGCTCCAGAGTGGAAAGCCACTGTGCTTAGGTCACGCTGCACCTAGAACTTGCTATAAATCTCTCTGTAGTTGGTCCTGGGCTGTAGAGCATAGGAGAAAGAATGATGCACTCTGGGCTGTCTAGCAGCTAGCACTTGTGGAATTTCTAAAGGAAGCCATGGTAGTCAGGGAGGAGGTGGTTGTGGGTACGCTGTTGACCCTGGGCTTGGTGGGTGGAACAGACATGTGTTCCTGCAACCCAAGACCCTCATTTTGAGGTAGGAATGAGTGGACTTACCTACTCTTATTTTGTTCTCAGCATTTTAGGGCCTCAGCAGAAAGGAGACTAAAACAGTTCCATGAAAACATTCTTCTATCTAATAAATCAAAAAATCATGGCTGGCCTCCATCAGTTCAGGAGTCTCCACAAAAATGTCTTGACAGTGGAACAAGAAATAGTCAAGGACAGTTTCATCAGTGACACCCACTTCCAATAGCAAAAGCCATCAATCCCACCGTAATTTTCTGTTTGGCATAATAATTTCCTAGGATGGCTTTGTTGTAAGTGCCTTTCCACACAACTGGTGCCTTCCATCTGGTCACTCTCACCACCTCTGGGCGTTTCCTGGTGATAAAACAGAGAGTTCCCTGAGTCAGGGCAGCTTTGCCATTGTGGGGCAGAGACTATCCAAGGAAAAGGGGGGTCA